TCATCTTCCAGTTTTGGCTGAAACTTGGTAGCACTGAGATGAAGCTCAAGGAGGAGGTTTTCCCTTGTCATTGTGTTTTCAGCCCTTCTGTTAGGTGGTTCAGAAACTGGCTTTCACCCTACTGAATTACACTGCTCCTTTTCAGCCTGTTGCAGACAGGAGTGTGGATGGATGCCGTTGTGGAGAAGATGTGAACGGCACTTGCTAAGTAGTACACTGGCTGGCTCACTGACTGAGCACATTACCTTTTATTATCCTTAGCACGGAAGCTTCAAAGCCGGGATAAATACTCTGAGCACAGAAGCTTCAAAGATAGGTTGAGTACACACTGTTCTAAGTGTCACAAAAAGTGGATGAACCCGTTGATAACAGTCAGTGAATTCCTGAAGTAGAGAGTAATTAGATTACTTTACCTTCCTACATTAGAACTCTTCTGTTCATTCTATTACTCAGTCTTCTGCTGTAGAGACCAGATTGGCAAGGGCGGGGGGTTGTGGGGGGTGGGGTGGGGGAGTTTAAGGCCCATAAAACTGTGTCATGACACAGAGATAATGTAACATTCTTGCTTTAATGCCACATTTTCTAAGCATAAGAAAATGAGTAAAATGATTCTTCCTCTTTATGTTTCTCTTGACCTATATCTGTACTAATCATTCTGGTGCCTTTTGGGCTTGGCAGAGAACAGGACCAACTTAACCCATATCTATCTATAGCTATATAAAGATAAATCAGACAACCTGTGGGTCAAAGGTTCAAAAGAAGGGATGGTGTGGCAGCTGTGCCGGAGCAGAAATGCCTGTGCTGTGAGCTTGGCCTGAGTCTTAAACAGTTAACAACAAACTCAAGATTTGTCTGTCTGCCCTTCTAAACTAACAAACACACAAGGTAACTAGTTAGCTGCAGTGCTTAAGCAAAGAGCCTGACCTGGCCTTGGTGTTTTGGGCTAATACTGCTCTGCTGTGCTCCTTTTCTGCCACAATTCCACTCAGCACTGACCTTCAGAAGAAGCAAGTGAACTTTCTAAACTGACCTGTTGGCACCTTATTGGTCAGTGTCTCTTCTTAGCCCTTCCACTCCCCTGGGAGACTCAATCCCATTGGTAACCTGGCCTGAGTGGATTTGCCTTAGGCGGAGGGTAATTTCTAGCAGGGGGCAGAGAAGCCCTGATAGATCCCCCCACAGACAGTTTCTTGAGGAGAAATGCCTTCTGACATTTTATGCGCTCCCATATGTTTCCCAAAATGTGATTTAAAGCAGGGGTGTAATTTAAAGCTGCCAGAATGGTCTGGGGTGTAACTCTGGCACCTGATATTCAGGATGGAGCAACACTCCAGCACTTCACCTGGCACATGGGGTTACAATGCCATTCAAATTTGGTCTGGCTTCCTGCCCCCAGCATGATACCTGATGGAGAGGCTGCCAGGCCAAATTTGAGTGAGTGGTGTTGCAACCTGACACACGGGGTTGCAATGCCAATCAGGTTTGGCCCAGCTACCCCTCTGTCATGATGCGTGGGTTAGTTGGGCCAAACTTGAGTAATGGCCTGGTGCATTGGGTTGCACTGCTGCTCAGGGCTGGCCTAGCCACCCACCCATCATAAGAGAGGGACTGCTGCCTGGATCAAATCTGAGCAGTGCTGCAACCCTGTGCCAGGTTGCAATGCCACTCATCACTCAAATTTGGCCCACATTGTTTGAGTGTGGGGCAGGTGGTGGGAGCAAGTGGAACTACTGGGTGGTCGTAATCAGAAGGTGCAGCTCTAGCCCAGGACAGGACCAGGGTGCTGAGCTGTGGGGGAGGAGTCGGTGAGAGTCCAGGAAGGTTGTGGGGGTAATGAGCGCGGCGCTGGGGACAAGCTGTTGGTGGGCTACAGGTGAGTGGGGAGTATTGGAGGGTGAGGGGAGGGGAGCTGTGGCTGGTGGGGCTGAGGTGTTGGGGCTGTGGTGAGTGGGATATATTTCAGATCTTTTGGGATGTTGTGGGGGGCCATCAGGATAAGTGGGGCGGGGGCTGGTCTGATCAGCCAATTAAATTGGGGTTATGGAGTGCCCCAAAAGTAGCTGGAGCATACAAGTGAATCTTGCTCTTATTTTAAATTTGCAGAGAATATTAATATTGTGAAAACAGTATTTTACATGCACCGCCAATGGGCTTTTTGACTAATTACATGTCCGCTTTGGATGTGACTTGCTACTTAGTTTAAAGTTTGACACATAAGAATTGAGTTACAAGTATTTTACCTTGCTATGATATGTGCATTTGTTATTAATGTGTGAAATCTCATATTTGCAGTTTCACAGATTGTTGATGAGATAACATTTACTGGTAAAGTGTAAGTTAAGTTTTTAATATGTGTACTTTATCTTATGACATCACTCATAAGATAGATTGTGGAAGAATTACCAACTTCAGATCACTTTTGCAGGGTTTCTGCATTATAAAATTTAGCACTACATCACTTGTTAAAAGGACTATGCTAGGTTAAAAATAACATACCATAAAAGAACCATGTGTTAATGTAGTAACCGCTCCAATTAGTAAAACTGAAACCAGTTTTAAAATCCTACTTTTTTTTCACTGGTTTATGCTATTTGTGTACTTTTTTTTTTTTTTTTTGCATTTTTCTCTTGCTGGACAAAGAGAATAGACTAGGCAATTTCATTTTTGTTTTTTGTCATTTTCTAGTCAATTTCATGTTAAGGTTTTACACAGTAGCACAATGTGATGATATCTGGGTTGCAATGACAGCAGTGTAGTGGAATGATTATTTATTTAATTAAATAGTTTTGGCTGGAATTTTAAAATTCCTGTTGATTTCACATTTTGTGAAAGCTTATTTTTGTGAAACCTAAATGTTAAGCTGTGCCACCCTTTAAAAAAATCGAGGTTGTTGTATGCCAGCTTCTTACAATGGTGTAAGTCATTGGGGCTTCACAGACTAGATGAGAGTGACTGGCCCTCTGCATTTTGGGAAATGTGAGAAACTGGTTTCCTGCCCTGATGAAAGATGCTTGAGAGTCTATGGCTTCTTCTGGGTAAAACTGTTGTCTTTTTACACTCTACTAAATCTCTCCAAACAATACATGGAACTGAACCGCATGCTGAGGCCTCAGACCTTTACATTTGGCAGTAAATTGTCACCTGTCCACTTTATAAGCTCAGGTAGGAATTTCAAGCGAACATGTTGGTTTTGCCTGGTGAGTTTAATGATAAGCATAAATATTGTTTGTGTAGCAGGAAAGGAGAGGAACTCCTGAACCCTCCTAGAATTAATCCCTGTGAGTTTGGATGGTCTGCTACTTGATTTACTTTAATCTTTCTTGCTTTTTCCCAATTCATGAATAATATCAATATGTGGATAATAAATAATCTGGTGAGTAATAGCTGTAGCTATGTATGTAGCTTCTTCTCATCCCTTTACACTAGTCAGTGATTGTTTTCCTGGCTCACACATTCTCAGACCAAAGCAAAATTTTGCTTAGCATCACATAATTTCTCCTTTATGTACTTTGCTCCTAGCTTTTTATCTGCTGGGAGGAAATAAATCAACATCTCTCCTCTCTTAGATCTGTGCTGCAGAGCCTGTAGTTAGAATGCATCCTATTTATACTTGTAGCAGGGATTGCTTTCAGGCTACTGCTTTTCTCCCATTGCAGTCACCATTAATGCCAATCTGACCTTGTTGCTAGGTGGTATGTCCCTTAAGCGGACAGTTGCTATTGCTGCTTAGGGATTCTTGCAAATGTTGTTTGCTTTTTGTTCACTTGACATGCTAGAAGTGTTCAAGGATCAGTACACAACTCACCGTTTTGGGAATTTCAGTTCCAATGCTCATTCACTTATAAATCAGTAACACATTCCATGGTTTCACTGACTAAAGAAAGGGTGAAATTCTGGCCCTACTGAAGGGAATGGCAAAACTTTCTTGGACTTCAATGGGGCCAGGATTTCTCCTTATGTGTACACTTCGTTGACCAATGTCCTTAAGTATGAACATGGCAGAATAAGTTTCTATGACTGCTCTTAAATCTGATACATTTCCGTGCTGTATGTCATGACCAAGTTTTTGGTCTAGCAGTAGCTTGTAGACATATTTCATTTTTTTAAAAAACATTACAAAGATCAGAACATTTATTTCCTTTGATCCTACACAATGCCAAGGGAAGATCCCCATTGACTTCAGCGGGAATGTGGGGTGTTCAGCATAGCGCAGAATCAGAGGTGTTCAGATTGAACACAGAAGCCTGACTTTAGGCTCCTGCTTTTGAAAATCTCAGTCTACAATGTTTTGCTGCTCACAAAAATACCCACACACACTTTGACTTTCACAGTGTTTATTGAATATGGATGAATTTCTATGTAATACCTAAATATTCCCCACTTTGCAGGGGCTCTGTTTATTTAGGATCAGATCCTGCCACCCTTAAGGTGAGTAGAACCATACTCTGCAAGTAGCCCCAATGAATTTAGAGTGGTGCAAAGGGGCTGATTGCAAGTCAGAATCTGTCCCTAACTGTGAAATTATCAGAGCACAAATAAAAGGGATCCATTCTTTTTCCCGTTCATATAACTAGAATGTTTCAACTGATATTGTTCAAATGTGGCTCGAACTGAAATGTCCGATCAAAGTCTAAGCAAGAACATTTTTATCCCAAAGAATGTTTTTGCGAAAATTACAATGTGAAAAGGTGGGGTTTAGAATGTAAAAGCTCTGTCCAACTGTGTGTCTGGTAGTTCTAATGTCATTCAGTCTGGCAGAGGAAACAGAATGTTTACAGTTCAGATTCCTCAGAATATTTGGGAGGGTATTATTTCAAAATATTGTCAAAATAGTAATTGCATTATGAAGAGACAACAATAGATGCCATTCCTCTGTGATGATCTAAGAAGCTAGCATTTAATTTGTAGCAAAAATGTCAGTGGTCACCTTAACAAAACTTCTATCCAAATATGTCTCAAACAACAACCATGGTTCCATGTATATGTTTTTTTCATTCATGTCTTTGGCTACATAAGACACTAAGATGGCAGTGGGCTTTTTTCCTTCCAGAATTGTTTCTGTTTGCTATTCACACAGTAGGCTCCTATTAGTTGTAGTATGCGTCTTTTTATTTGCTTAAAATGCTTCCAGTTATACAATACAACTATTCTTCAAAAATTTACAACAGACAGGACATCAGTCAGGCAGCAGTCATTAAAATTTATGATATCCTGCCACTGAAATGAACTAGTACAACAATCACTACCATTATCATTGCAATATACTGCAATGGTTTGCACAGCACCAGCCACGTACAATAGTATTAATATTATTATGAAGGTAAGTCTAGATTTCAGTTTGCACCTCTGTTTCCCTTACATCATCTTTTGATTTAAATATAGATCCCAGCTCTTCTGGTTTGAGTCTTCATCATTTGATTCCTTTTCAATATAGTTGTTTGAATACAGATTCCTAAAAGGTCAGAAATACAAAACAAAAAGTGCTATAATCGGGTGAGACAATCACAGAAGAATGAAAAACGGCAGATGCAGATAATACTGGCTGTCTGATTCTGCAGTGAATGCTTCTGAACTGGACTTCTCTTCTGCTTCATGCAGGCAAAACATGTGGTTTCAGAGCAAGACAAGTGAAGCAGAATCAGGCCCCCCAGATTAACGAAATGTTTGGATTACTGGTATTTTTAAGGAATTATTATTGTGTATAAAAATAAAATTCACAGTAGAAAATAGTTGGTCCAAATAATAATAAGAGTTGGGTAGGAAATGGCTTTCCTGGAAAAAATTGAAATTTTGAAAATAATATATTTCCTGTCTTAAATCAGGATGAAAAGTTGAAATCTCAAAAATTTTCACAAGTCACCAAACCAATCTTTTTATTTTGGGGTTCAGGTCAATTGAAATGTTTAATTTTGACCTTTCAAAAAATTTTGGTTTTGACCTTTAAAAACAATGTTTATGATAATTAGCTTAAATATCACAACAAAACATTGTTTCAAATGGAAAACAATGGAATTTTTCATTTTGAAGATATTGCCATGGAAAGCTTCAACAATTTCAAAACATTTTAAAATGAGAAATTCATCAAACCTGACACTTTCCTTTCAGTTTCGATGAATTGGCATTTTCCAACCAAAAAAACCAATGTGTTGAAAAATTCCTGACAGTAATAGTAATGCTTTTTAATCTGATGAACTTTGGGCATCATTCTGATGTCCTTACTTAGGCAAATCAAACTCACTCAAACACCCAGTTGAGATTGCTTGAGTAAGGCTGGCAGGATTGAATCCTGGCTAATTTATCATTTGGAGGGCATTCGCATGCTTTTAAACACTTACCTGTTATTGCCTTGCTCAGCTTCTTGAATGTCTTCTGATAGGTGGGCAGGTAGTGATTTCCCAAATCTTTGTGGCAAGGTGGCAAGTGATTGGATGGAACTTTTAACAAATGGAAATCTCCTGAACCTGTGTAATAAGTTAGGAGCACATCTAGAAATACTGCCTTCAAAAGCTCTCCCAAATCTCAGAGGCAAATTAGCCACTGGCTTCATGCTTCTTTTTTCTTGAACATTTCTTCCAAACCTCAGTGGTAAATTGGCAAGTGAATTAGGCATCTTGTTGACTGTGGGAGTGCTCACTTTAATGATGTTTTTTGATCCCCAGTCTTTCAGTTCTTCAAAATTGAGACTTCTCTGCTTTTCTTCTAAGAAGTCTTCACTGGACTAAAAATAGAAATAATGATACAATCATCTTTTTACATGGATGATAACCTGTCTACATACAAATCACATACAGTAGGTTGTTAATTTTAAGGTTTCTGTAGGCACAGACACGGGGGAGAAGAATATACTTTCCTAATGCTTTTAGAATGCGAATTCCCCAAACATTTTTCAGAGTGTGGACTCTTCCTTGTAGACTGATTGTCTTGTAGACTATTTCCTCCCATTGGCTACCAGAGAACATTCCAGTGGCAACTTCAGCAGTTGTTTACATGGAAAATTAGGAATGCATTTCTGTATCTTTATCTGCTTTAGTGATACCCATTTTTGCCCTAAATGTCAATCACAGTCTCCTTTTGCTCATTTTATCTTCCCCTTCCATCTGTTCTGTTCCTTTCCCGCTCTCCCTGCTCCTTGCACATGCTTTTCTGCTGTCTTGTCCTCTTCTCTACCTCTTCCTGTACAGTTGTTTCCCTTCTTATTGGTCTCCTTTTCCCTTCACATGATTCCTTTTCCCTTGGTTCCCATCTCCACAGCTTCCCATTCATGCTGCCCAGCCATTGGAGAATTCCCCTGGCCTAAGAGAACTTCAAATTAGTGTAAAGCTAACAGAACTACTCCTCCATTTCTGGCATATGTGGTGTGCCAGGATCACACTCTATTCTGCTACACTGATCCTCTACTGGCATGGGGGCATTAAGGACCTTGAGCTCCTACACTGCTTTATCTCATGCTTGAGCTGACCGGTACAGAACCACTTCTGTTGCACCCAATCCCTGTGCTTGGACACAGTGGAGCATTGAGCCCAGAATATTAATTGTTTTATGAAATAATTAGTGCCGTTGTTCTCTGAAAAGTGGCTATATAAAAATTATTTTCTTATGCAAAAGTGTTCTCTGCGCACAGTTAAAGTCATATCTTATTTTTGTGAAGTTGTGTTGTTAAGTTTCTCGATCTTAAAAGCAGATCAGTGCAAATAAGGTATTAGATTTAAATTAAAAACCAAACATTAACATTGTCCATTCCAGCCCATATGTTTTTATGAATGTTTACTTCTCTCAGCACTGCAGAAGCAAGCACAGTTATTGGGAGAGGGAGCTGGAGTCTATTCTAATTCAGACATCATTAACGGAATTGTTCACTTCTAACTGTGGGACCAAATTCTATCTCCTGTTACACCTGTGCAACCCCACTGAAATGTGTAAACAAGGGGCAAACCTGAAGACTAAGGGGCTGTACAGGCTGGGGTGCTGGAATAATTTGTATAACATGGGTGCTGAAAGAGGAAGCCATATATTTGGTTGTTGTTTCTACTTCAAGCCAGGGGGTGCTGCCGTACCTTCAGCACCCCTAGTTCCAGGACCCCTGTGCACAGGTATAATTAAGGTAAAATTTTTGCTTGAAGAATTTTTATAACTGGCGATGGTGCAGAAGGCAAAAATAATGTAGACTCTGAGGTCCCAGGGACTGCTTCTAGGGCAGAAAGTTAGGAAAAAATCACTTTATATATAAACTGTATAAATATAAACTGGGTAAATTTGATTTGGCAGCTATTGAGACACAATAAATATGGACCCCACGATGATATTTTATAGTCATTTTTCAGGGTAGAACTTTAAGTCCGTTTACCACATCAGATTTATAGTATTTTCCATTTATCATTATTATTTGAACATCTCAAACATTTCTTTATTAATTTTGGATCAGTAATGCATCTTTTATAAGAATAAAAAGCATGACAGTTTCTTACTGCATAAGCAAAAATCCATTCAAAATAAACATCACCCTGAATCCCAAGGTTTTACTGCATGAAAATCAAATCATGAATTGCTTTACACACTACATATAAGCCAGCGGATAGATTTCATGAAAGTTGTCTCAACAAGCCTTGTTTATGCTAGTGATGTTATAGGACCTGATCCTGTGCCACTGAAGTCAATGGGAACTTTGCCACTAACTTCAATGGACACAGGATCAGACCTGCAGTTCTCAAAATAATCTCATACCAAGGCAAACCTTACCTCAGAATATTTATCACCATAATCTCTGCTCTGCAGACTGGACATTGCTGATTCATCTAGGCACAAAGTATTTGATGTTAAAAAGATAAATTTGGCTAAAGTAAATAAAATAAACCTTTTGATTGAGATGATTTTCATTTTCTCTTAAATTAAGTTTATATAGAGAGCTCAGAATCTGTACAGCAAAGGAAATGATCATCTTTTTATATGATTAGAAAACAAAGAGATTCCTTAAACTGTGACATCAACTCCAAATGCTTTATTTCTTAATATTAATTAGGGATGCAGTTTTAAATATATATTTGAAGAATGTTGGGAATTTGTTTTGTGAACATATTTAATAAACACTGTTTCCTGCTGCAAACACATTACCTTTACAAATATTTTTCTAGCTATGAAAGAGATTTTAATTAGCTAACTTTGAACACCTCACCAACCAGCACTCATAATAACCATGTTTCATTGCTACATTTTAACAAAAGCATCTTGTTCCTGTTTCTCATATCAACCATCTGTTAAGGATGTAGATACAAGACTTTGCATTCTTCTGATTACATTATACTTGGAGGATGGTTATAATGCCTGTTCTGAGATGAGCAAAATTGCAAACATAGGACCCATTGAAATTAATGGTTTGTCTTTCTATTAACTTCAGTGGACATTGGAGGGACCCTGAGAGACACTTAGAACCCGCAAGTCCCACTGAAATCCATGGGTGTTTCTTTCAGGATCTGGCCCATGTATTAAACATATTCATCCATATTAGAGCTAAACAAGGAGCATGCCATTAATTACCAGGCCTATCTGTTGTGTTTTTAAAAAGTTTCAGGAGGACATGCTGGTTGGGTATGGTGTAATGATGTTTTAGGGCCAAATTATTCAAAGCCTACATTTAAAACTGCATCCACAGGTTTATGGCACACACCTGTTTGTATACACTCATTGAGGAGACAGCCTACTATCCAATTTGTGCACAGACATGACTGTGCCTGCACTAGCCTTGAGGCTGATTAAAATGCGGCCTGTATCCTTAAGGCATGTATGGAATCTTCTAATGGACATTTTGACAAACAAGCATGCACCATAAAGGCTGCAAATATTTCAAGAGCTAGAGGCACATGCATGATATGTGCCCAATTCTCGAATATGAGCTTTTATATAGATTGTACAAATCCTATATTTTTGGGGTTTAAATTGACAAATAGACTCATTAACTGAACATTCTAGTGCATAAGTACTATAAGCACCAATCTGAGGGCACAAATTAGAAACTCACATTGGAAAATTGGACTCTACAGGAATAATTTTTGGAATTCTATGCTGTGGTTGTGAAGATGAAAAGTTTCTTCAGTTGTACCATAGTATCTGCAAAATTCTAAGAAGAGAAGTTGTTTTATAGTAGGAATAACCTGGATAATCTGGACTGTTTATATCCACTATACTTGTGTATTCTTCACTGGGAAGTATTTTTGAGTTTGCGAGTAAAATCACTCTGATTAGGACTAAACTACTTGTTTTCATGGGTGCAAAGCTGTGTGTGACAAATACAGAGTCTTCTCTGATTTTAGTTTTTGTGGGAGCTTTGGATTATGACCTTTCTAAGGCTTCAGTCCACAGGATTTGCATCTGCAAGACAGATGGTCACAATTGTCCCTTCTAGCCTTGGCATTTATGAATTAATGACAGGGAATAACGAATGCACTTCAGGTAGTAATATCTAACATTTAGTGAGTGTGCCATCAAATTTTCCTTTTATTTGGCCATTGGATTTTGAACATTTCTTTCTCAAATGGTCTTTCACTTAAGTGCTGAGAGATAGTCTGCCTCTTAATTAAACAGACTTGGCAAGAACCAACCACTTCTGAAATACTTTGAGTGAGAGTCAGGTCCCATTTTCTCTAGTCAGGATAGGGACAGTTGGGCAGCTATTGTCCATTCTGCAACAAGTGTCTGTGAATCTCTCAGTTTCACTCTCTCTCTCTCTCTCTCTCTCTCTCTCTCTCATGTCTGAGTTTGTTTCTTAAATCAATTTAGAAGGGAGTTCTTAGGTATATTATGTGCAGGGCAATCAAGGAGTAGTTGACTCCTGAGGGCTTAACTTTCCCCTCCTGGTTTATGTTATGTTCATGGCATACACACAGAGAAGTTAGATGCAAAACAGAACACTTGTGCTGGAAGATTGGAATATAACACTATTTTATTTCTTAGAATTCAGAATGATCACACACAAGTAAACACAAGCAGGCTGCTCCCTAAAACAGAGCCACACCTCATCCTGCCTTGCTATAGGCTGACTTTCTGCAGACTGACAGCTACTAGGCCCAGATCACACACTTCCCTAGAGAGGACACCCATACCCCCACATCCTGCAAGGAGGAGCTGGAAAACCCTCTAAAATTTAAAGTGACAGCTTACAATTTTAACAGTTTTCAGTACACCACAATTTAGTTTTTCCTTTGACACAACCAATTCCTGAGCACATGGGGGCCACTGAGCACTTTTGAAAATGTTGATTGAGTACCCAACCTCTTAACTTCCCAATTAACTCGGGCTCAGTCCCAAGTTTTAGGCGAACCTTCCCACCATCCATGCAGAAAAACTTCTGACCCAGGTCTGAAGGTGCTTTAAGCATGGGGGATAAGTTTAAGGGTTGCCATCTGGCTGTTTTTTAACTAGCTTGGTTGGTTTTTGTACTACCTTTCTGGTTAAAAGATTCAATGAGTCAGAGGTTTTTCATTTGGGACACCTTAAAGTACTCTACAATTTCACATCCCCAGATGTTACAATAAAGTAAGAAAAACGATAAAATAACAAAAACACACATAGTGGGGGTTTTGTTGTGTGTGTGTGCATGTGTGTATCCCTGTGTGTGTGTGTATGTTAAGAATGGTTCTCCAAAACATTTTACTGATGTAAGCAGTGTCAGGATGAGCTCCACCCTGACATCTGGTGGTGAGGTGTGGCAAGTTGTGGAAAAGAACTTCAGGGGCCGATCTCATTTGCATAGGCACACCCACCACGCCTAGAATGAGACCATAGCTGCCCAAATGGTCACTTTGGCTGCTGTGGGATCCCCAGTGTCTCTGTTATTGGGGCAGGAAGAATAAATTGTTATTACCCTGATTATGGGAACTGTGCTTGGAACTGTACGTGGCCTTTTGTTATGATGGAGGGATTCACCATCAACTAAGTAGCACTCGGTAGGCAAGGGTCATGGGTTCCAAAACTGTGTGAATGGAGAGAGGCTGGGGACAAGTATTAATACTTGGTGGCATGGGCCCCTTGGTGAGGGCCTTACATGCTAATTGCACTTCCTCCTCTCTCCACTGTGGAATATCAGAGCTAATTTTGATTTCATTAGAAGTCTAGTTATAGGCTGCTGAGCTCACTTTGGGCTGACAGTGCACCAGCACTGGGGCTCCCCTACTACAAGCTGAATTCACCTAAGAGCTGAAATCACTGAGTGTTGTGTTAAGTAGTGGGGGAGCCTGAAGATATATTGTGGAGCAGTTTGCGGGACGGCTGGTGAAGCAGTTCGACGCGGAGCAGTGTGTGGATGGCAGGAGCGGCTTGTGGGCCGTGGAGCTGAGCGAAGGAGTTCGTGGGGCGGCTGGCGGAGCAGAGCGCAGCTGAGCGAAGGAGTTCGTGGGGCGGCTGGCGGAGCGGAGTGCAGCTGAGCGAAGGAGTTTGTGGGGCGGCTGGCGGAGCGGAGTGCTGCTATGGAGCTATGGGGCGGTCAGCTTCAGATCACGTAAGGTGCCTCTTACCCCCGTCCCATTTCCACCCAGGTTGGGAGGTAAAGCTCCGCAGATAAACTTTCGAACTCTGGGGCTGCCCTGACCAGGGACAGAGACTTTTGGGGCATTGGACTTTTGGGACTTTGGGTGATTTGGGGTTGCTGGACTCAAGAACCAAAGGGAAAAGGGCATGCCCCAATTTGCCTGGGGTGGGTTTTTTTTTTTGCTCATGGGTTGTGTTATGAATCCTGTTGGTGGTGTTTCCCCAACGTAATGCCACATTGTTTCTCTCTGTTATTAAAAGGCTTTTGCTACACTCAGACTATGTGCTTGCGAGAGGGGAAGTATTGCCTCTTGGAGGCGCCCAGCGGGGGTGGTATATATTTGTCCCAGGTCACTGGGTGGGGGCTCGAGCCGGTTTGCATTGTGTTATTGGAATGGAACCCCTAGATATTGAACCCGGCCCTTGTTGCTGCCAACTCTGACGGGCAGAAGGGTTACACTAATAATTAGCTATAGTTGGCATTTAGGACCCATGTTGGTGGGAGGGAGGCCAGTGGCCATTCTTCAGCATCTCAGGTGTGGCAGTGAGTTAGAACTCAGGCTCCACTTTGACTTGAGCTGGAACCCACCCACTTTGTAATGATGCAAAAATAATTTCAGTACCAACAGTCCTTCAATGCCCTCCCCATGGTTTCCTCCATGGGACAGACAATTGCTTGGGAAAGAGTCCTAGAGTGTCTCAGGACAGAGTACAATGGATTATGCTCCCAGACACACACAGGTGAGTGCAGGACATAGGAATGTGGGTAGGACTTTGCAGGGGGGATGCTCACACCTGGGCTAGGCTATTCTGGGTGGCTCAGACCCAGTGGCCAACCACTTGGGTTAACTGTGCAGTGAAGACATACTCTGAGAGCATTCAGCACCCAGAGTGTTCAGGGGACTTGGCTAGGACTAAACTCCTGTTCTGAAAATACTTGAAGTACCCAAACATGCATTAAGCTCCCCATCTCAGTGCCCATCAGGCACTTGAGCCAGGACAGGCTTTTGAAAATGTTAACAATCATGTGTGGGCCCATATGCTGGGCTAGTTCCGAGTGCTTTCCTGAATGCTAGAAGTGATCCTTCCTTGCTGCTTGTGCAGTGGGAGTGGGCATGGGAAAGAATTCTCACATACCTGTGCAACAAGGAGTAGGATCTACTCCATGAGCAGGGGGTTGGACTAGATGACCTTCTGGGGTCCCTTCCAACCCTAATATTCTATGATTCTATGATAATCATCTACATTGGTCTAGAGAACATCTACTTTGATAATATTTGACATTAAAATGTGATTAGTAGTAATGGCGTAGAGCATCCCACACTATAAGCAACTCAGTCCACAATGAGTTACAGGATTCCAGTGAAAGAACAAACTTC